AACTAAAATGGCAAGGGTTGGTCACACAAGGAAACAATTACAAGAGACATTTGATATTAATCTAGGGAATTAGCAACATCTCTTTGAATATCCCCAAACTCTCTTAAAATTCTTTTTCAACAATGATTACATTATGTTATGTAAAATGAGCAAGATTAGTTTTATTATAATCTTGTTTGCAAAGAATACTGGGAAAAATAAATTTCTACAGGGAAAAAGATCAAATTGCTACTTTTTAAAATCTTTAAAATTCAATTAAGGTTGTTACCTTGAAAGCAAACTGAAACTTCCCCACTGTGAATGATTTACTTATCTGCATCCAAAGACATTTGATTAGAATAATTTTTCAAATATAAACAATTAGTAACAGATCATTTATTTACTAACTGTTATAGGAGAGAGCCAGCTGCCTGTATCTTCTTCTTTTGACAAATCTGAGGTTAGATATTTCTCATAAATTTTCACTATTTAAAAACATTTATTTGGGGCCAAGCAGGGTGACACACATCTTTAATTCCAACACTAGGGAGGCAGAGCCAGGTAGATCTCTGTGAGACTGAGGCCAGCGTGGTCTTCATAAAAAGTTCTAGGCCAGCTGGGACTATAGGGAGACTGTCTCAAAACAAACAAACAAACAAAATAAAACAAAACAAACATAACAATAACAAAAATCAAAAATCAAAAAATAATTCAATTGGCTAATCAGAAGGGTTTTGTGAAATGGTTATCTGTAAGGTCATGTCCCAATATTGTTCAGAAGCACATTCAATCTATGTAAATTGTTAACATTTCTGTATGATCTGGGCTAAGTTTGCCAATGCTCAGAAATATACTACACCTCTTGTTCAATTAAATTTGGTAAGAGGTCTCTTTTCAATCAAGTTTAATATCATGTTCTGCTGACTTGCAAATGAGGAGGTCAGTGCTAACTGAGAGAAGCCTTAAAAACTCTGACACCTTCTATCCCTGCTCAAAGAATCTGTGCTCTGTGTGTTCTGTTTCTTGGCTTTCCCATATTGCATTATGAGGTTAAGAAGATGAATGCTCATTGCTTTTAATCCTCACCATGATTTATGAGCCTCTTGGTATCCTTTCCCTAGAGCAGCTACAACTCTGTGGTTGTTCTGCCTGCTGCTTAAATTACACAGGCATCTGCAAAGTAAATTATGGATTGTTGTTTCTCAGACCATAACCAAGAAGAGCATTCTCTTTATCTTGCCTGCAGTATTTTTTTTATTAGAACAAAGAGTGCGTATGGCCTCACTGCTTATGTGCTAAGGGGATTTAAGCTAATCTGAGCAACAGCGTCCTGGATGGTGACCTGCTATATATAATACCAAAATGGTATGGTGTATGTCCAGGATAACTTTAAAGACATAAGAAAAACAAACAACAGAAAAACTAAAGATGTTTTTGATTTTCTATGTCTTTTATCTTTACTGAAGGGATAGTATCTTATGACTTACAGAAGAATGACATTTTTAAATTATTTGACTGCATATTCCATGGAAGAAAACCCATGTAAATGATGCTCAGTATCTAAGTGTGGAAGGTTTTGATACCGTCTTGTGTCCTATGATTCTTTCAATAAATTACTGAACAAATATAGAAAATTGGATGGAAAATGGGGTAGCCATTTCAGATTTTCCCCCTGCTGATAATACTTGTAGCAAACTTGCTTTAATAGTCCTGGAGATTTGTAATCATAGAAAAGAATGGGAGCATCTTTCTTTTGAAAAGAAGTCACGCAAAGGCTAAGTTGAAATAATCAATTGCTTCTGTATTTTCTTTTTTTCCCTCCTTGTTACTCTTCGCAAATGATGAATCATAACTCCCAAAGACAAATCCATCGTGAAATCCTAATAGGCATGTCTAAAGTTATTAACCTTTGACAATCGCCAAAATTAGAAATCTACCTCCATTTATTTTCTTCAGATGCACTAATTACAGAGCAACAATATCCTGTCTGGGAAAAATTGCACTTACAATTTACAAGATGATTTTTATTTTTGTCTTATAAAATACATTTTTAAAAAATGGGTCTGTGATTCAGTTTTGAGCCCCACTGTTGAATCAGCAGGATGCTATGAGCACTGAAACTAGAAATGCTTTCTGGACTCCAGCTGAGCAGACTGCTTCCATCAGTGTGTTTCACCTCATCTCCAGCTCAGAGTTGGTGTTTCTGAGAGTCAGGACCTGGCACTCACACCAATGCTCTAAAGACCTTTTTTGGTTTTTCTTTTTTTTTTTTTTTGGTTTTTTTTCCTCTCTCTCTAAAGATAGATCTTATATTTGTTTGCTTCTGTGTCTGTCAACAACTCACTTCAAAACATTTCTTTCTTCTCATTCTTGTCTCAACTTTGTCTCCTCATCTTAAAAAAAAAAAAATGAAACTTTAATCCTGAAGACTATTTCGTTAAAATCATACAGTGTGGAAATATGCCTCCCCTCAAAGAAGTGTCTTAAATATTGAATAAATACAAGTTATTTTCTTTTAAAATGTATAGAGGACAGGCAAATAAAATTAAATTTGAGCTTCTGAAAGATGATAAACAGTTATACTGTACTCTAAATATATTGCCAAATTACCATCTTCTCAAGCATACACACTCACATACCCATACATTCAAGCAATTTCTTTACAGCCAAAAATGAAACAGCAGCAATAAAATATTGACTTTTATATAACTAAAGGCCTAAAGCCTAGGTGTGGTTTTAGATTTTATTTACTGATCTCCATTATCAATGTCTGCACTTCCAGAATTATCTGCCAAGTGTTCTCATACTTAATACACATTTAAATCTGTAAATCTCTAAATGGTTTAAAATTCACTAGACAGCACATAGCATTATGTATATCCCTGTCTTTTATATGTGATTATTCACGATTCCATATATTTTCTCCATCTGTTTATAATCCCTCTTAAATGTTCTTTGATGTTTTCTTATACTTCACAACCATCACAGAAAGAAGGGATGTCAATTTCAAGCATAATTTTTGTATTGAAGCAAGAAGTTATAATTCTAACACTAATCAACAACTGTTTGACAACATGAAATGTTCCTGATTCGTTATTTCCTTTTTCTGGTATGATAGATTAATATGGTTACCTATAACATAATTAATGAATATAGCACAAAATTCCAAAAATAATTAATTAGCAAATTTTATATTACAGAAGTGGCTACTTCTTTAATTGTTCAATAATTCATAAGAGGAGATTAGTTAATTTAAAAGACCCCATAGAATTCCCTATTCAAAACTAAAATAATGAAAGAAAACATTATTTATTAATAAAGCAAATTTAAAGTGGTTGCCTTCACATGTATAACTGGTATTCATAGACATTATTCTATTATGATCATCCAGGGAAATTGCTTTCAGGCTTATTTTCATAGATAAAAATTTATAAAAATATATTATGAGGAAAACAATTTCAACCCATTCTCATTAAATTTCTTTAACATTAGTATAAAATTGCCTTCATTGAAGAGAACTGAATATCCTAATTTCTTCCACTTTGTCTTTTCTCAAGTGGTGTTATTCAAATTATTCTATGTAAAAGAATTATAAACTTCTTTCAATTCTTACTATAAATTCAGGTATAACATGGTATGAAAAAAATTATTTTTGAGAAGATTCTGTTTTTGCTTTTTAATTTGGAACTTTAGACATGGTAATAACTTACTAAGCTTTAAAGAAAAGAATGCATTCATTTTTAAAATGTGGTTAGGCCTGTTGTTCACTTATACCTGGGTAGTATCTGTGAGGCTCTGGGTTTGATCTTCACTAAAGGTAAGAATTAATAATTACTTTAGAATGGTTTGGTATGATTATATCATTTATATTTACACCATACAATGTTTTAGGTTGGGGAAGGAAAGTTTTTAAGAAGACCAACTTGCCACATTTATTAAATTTGCAATTTTCATCTGTTTTATTATACAT